TTAATTTGATAAGTCTCACAAACCTTATGACGGAGGTACCAGTTTTATTCCCGCTGGACTTAGGTCTGCTGAGGTTCTGAGAGATGAAGTAGCTTGCCCATGACGGAGGTGCCAGTTTTATTCCCGCTGGACTTAGGTTTGCTGAGGTTCTGAGAGATGAAGTAGCTTGCCCAAGGCCACTCAGCCAGAGAAGGTAGCGCTGAGTCTCAAGCCAAGGGTAGGAGGATGCTGCTTTCTCCAGATTCACCAGGACTTTCCTGTTGGGACAGTGATTGATGGTCTTCGGACTCCCTGGCCATCTGGCCTCGGGGAAGTCCCCTCCCCTCTCTCGTCCTTAGCATTCGCATCTGGGACATGGGGAGATGAATGTTGCCGTCCTTGGTTTCTCATGGGGATTAATGGAGAGAATGTTTATGAATCTTTTCGCTAGGGCCTGGCCTATCATAATATCACTATTTATTCATTCGACACCTGTCTATGGAGCACCTGGTATATGCCAGGTACCATTCTAGGTGTACAGGCTAGAAAAGATCCCAGCTCAACCAAAAGGATTATAGATTTGGATTTCTATATAGACTATGGATAGATAAACCTTTTCTGTAAAGGGGAAGATAGTAAATATTTTCATTTTTTTAAGGTCTTATTGTCTCTTGTTGCAACTACTCAGCTCTGCTGTTATGAGCAGAGCAACCATAGACAATGCATAAAAGAATGGGCATGGCTCTGTTCCAATAAAACTTTATAAGGTCTTATTGTCTCTTGTTGCAGCTACTCAGCTCTGCTGTTATGAGCTTAAGAGCTACCATAGACAATGCATAAAAGAATGGGCACGGCTCTGTTCCAATAAAACTTTATTTATAAGAACAGGCAGTGGGCCAGCCGGTTTGGGCCCACAATCATAGATGGCCAACTCTTGCAGAAAATATTTATTTACATGACCCAGGTGATTTTTTTCTAGAAAAATCAATTTAAGACATTTTCCCCAAACTCTTTTATAAAACTAGGGTGCCTCTTACACACCTGTGCTTTTCCAGTGATTTTCAAATCTTCGGGCTCCCCTGCAGATAACTCAAGGGACAAGGGTGATGATGAGAGTGGAGAGTGTTGGGTCTCTGCTTCTGCTTTAACCCAGAACCCCTCTTGGGTCCATGTTTTGATTGACAGTCTTCATAAGAGTTTGTTTGAGAAAAGGGGGTTGGAGACTAGAAAAAAATGAAACCCATTAATCCAGTCCAACTGGTTATAGACTATATCCACCCTCCAGGATCATGCCTTAGAGAGGCATTGATTACATAATTGTTCATAGATCAAATTAATTTTCTAACTGGATGGAGGGAGTCAGCAAAGAGTAGCTTTGGGGCTCTGTTTGTGGGATGGAGAAGGTGCAGGGAACACAGACCAAAGGGTCATGTGTAGGTGGAGACTCTGGACAAAAGCCACAGTGTCCTATAGAGAGAGGCGTGGGGAAGGTCAGCTTCCAGAGCCCATGAAGGTGGAGACCACAGGCTGGCCTCTGGCCATCTCGGCGAAGGGGGTTGACAGCGTGGCTTGTTCACAGTCGGACACAGTTAGGTTTGAATCTCCTCTGTCTCTCAATAGCTAGGCCAGTTATTCCTCTGGTTATCTCTTTTCCCAGCTGGGACACTGGAACGATGCCCCTTCCCTTCTCGAGCTGCTGGATGGATTAAAACCTACGCATTGCGAGGCGCTTCAGGAATAGTTCTTTCCTTCTCCATTTCATTCTCAGGGTGTACGATGAGCTCAAAGGCTGTTTGAGACTTTCCAGCAACTCTTTCCTATTGACTCAAATGTCCATGCCCCAATCTTCTCTCCCCAGGATGTGGCCAGGTTCTGCGAGCCTCGAAAGGTCAGATTTTTTTGGAGAGCTACCCACTAAATGCTCACTGCGAATGGACCATTCATGCCAAACCTGGGTTTAACATCCAGCTAAGGTGAGGGGTTGGGGTTATGAGGAAACACAGTCATGGGACTAAGGGTACTGGATCCTGGTGACCCAGGGGGCTAACTAACCATCAGCACGTTGTCCTCAAAAGCAGAAAATGTATATTGGAGCCTTTTTCTTTAACCTCTCATTGATTTAGTGGGATAAGGCCTGGTCAAAACTATGGCCAATTAAATGCTGTCATTCACTGCCTATAACAGTGGGGCTCCGTTGATTTTTACCCAAAGATAACACAACAAAGCAAGATACGGAGAACCATCTATGCATGCCCAGATCGTAACCAAGCCTTCCTGTTCCCAGAGTCCCGGGCTGGGTTCCATGGGAGGGAAGTGAAGAACTAAAGGGCACAGGTCTAACATTCAGGGAATTCAGACTCTAGAGCAGGGCTCATGCTTGTCACAGATCCTTTCACTGATATTCTCAGAAAACAGCCACCACCCCCGCAACAAATTAACCAGTTTTCTCACTTGTGTGGAAGATAAGTTGTTTCTCTAAAAGGCTTTGAGGCCCATGCAAATGTTTAATTTGTTCCCTAGTCCCAAGTAGAGACCTGGTTTTATTGTAACTATAGAGAAGTAGCACAGGAGAGTCTGACCGGAACAGTTCTTGGCGCCTGGAACAGAACGTGGTACACTGCAGGGGCTGGGTGGATAGTTGTTGCGTGAATAAATGTTGAAAGAACTGCTCTCTGCCTCCTGTGTCACCTCTCCTACTCCTCTCTAGGCACAGTGGACTAAGACAGATGCCCCACTCTACTCTCAAGGAGCTTGCAGTCTAGTGGAGGAGTCAGGCATATGTGTGCGTGCATGCACACACACACACATGCACGCACACTCACACATCAAAGAGATAAAAATGAGAAACAAAAATTTGTATATATGTCATGAAGAAAATAAGGGATCTACCAGGGAGGCCTCTTTGAGGAAGGAATAGTTCAGCTGTCCCCAAAGGAGCCAGCATGTACAGAGATTCCCTGAATGGCATATGGCACCCCTTCACCTGGGTGCGCTCTGTGTGTGCACACACATACACACAGTGTAGGTACACACTGTAGGTAACAGTGTTCATCTGACTCAAGCCCTCCAAGACCAGTCCCCTATCTGACCAGGCCAGTGGCACCCAATGTCCAGAGGCCGGTGCATCATTTGGCCTCGAGTTGCCCAGGGGTCTCAGGACTGCCTGGGGCCCACGTGGGTCCTGCTGTCACCTTCTCCGCCCACAGGTTTGTCATGCTGAGCCTGGAGTTTGACTACATGTGCCAGTATGACTACGTGGAGGTCCGTGACGGCGACAACAGCGATGGCCAGATCATCAAGCGTTTCTGTGGCAACGAGCGGCCAGCTCCCATCAGGAGCACGGGCTCCTCGCTCCACGTCCTGTTCCATTCAGACGGCTCCAAGAATTTCGACGGCTTCCATGCCGTTTTTGAAGAGATCACAGGTAAGGGCCATGGAGACACAATAGCGTTTTGCGACTATGCTGTACGCAGACGCCTCCTTTCTGTGTACCGCTCCCCTCCCTGCTCAGCCTTTTTCAGACCTGGCGTGCCGGGGTCTCAGATGAGCCCCAACATTGAGCCGGAGGAGAGAAATGGCGAGGTATATTTCAGAAATGTTCACGGGAACCAGAACTAGGGATTGTTATCTCCCTTGCACAGCTGCTGGAGCACAGAGAGGCTGGGTCATTTGTCCAAAGTCTCACAGCTATGGGGGTGGAACCAGAGATTTATACACAAGCATTTTGGCTCTAGAGCCCCCTCGAGGGGGCCTGCATGGTTAAGGACATTAGCTTTGGATCTCTGGCAGGGGAAGCCAGGTGACTTTGGTCAAGTTCTTCTACTTCTCGGGGCCGCAGTTTCCTAAGCAGTGACTAAGGGAATAACGGTAGATCCTCCGCCATTAAGGAGGCTCTGGGAGACAGAAAGATGAAGGGCTGAGCAGGGAGTCTGGTCCATAGGAAGCACTCCACGGCTGCCCTACACCAGGCGTGCTCTGAGCCTCGCTTTGCCATCTGTAAAATAGGTATTAAGTGGTTTAAGCTACAATGGTAAATGCCACTTACTTTACGAGTAACTAACTCTAAGCCTGACTTTGCCTGCTGCCTTGTCTGGGTAAGGAAGTAGGATTCAACAAAAGGGACCCAAGTGCTCCATCTTAAGGGATCGGCCCAGCTCTCATCGTCTGGAATTGGACTGCATTCTGAGAAGTTCTGCAGAAGGGAGGTCGGGTTAATGTCCTTTAATACTAGTAGTGTTTCCCCACCATATTTGAGCCCAGAACTCTCACCATCTCAAAGGACTACTGTTTGCAGAATGCTTCTTTGGGAGTTCTTGAGCACACGTTCCACAGTGTCCTGAAAATCACCTTCCACTTCCTTTCCCCTGGAATCCAGGATGCTGGGATTCCTTGACGAAGATGATCTAAAGCTACCCAAGGATGCCCGGCCGGCGTGGCTCAGTGGTTGAGCTGTGACCTATGAACCAGAAGGTCATGGTTCAATGACTGGTCAAGGGCACATGCCCGGGTTGCAGGCTCGATCCCCAGTAGGGGGAATGCCAGAGGCAGCTGATCAATGACTCTCTCTCTCATCATTAATGTTTCCATCTCTCTCACTCTCCCTTCTTCTCTGAAATCGATAAAAAATATATATATTTTTAAAAATAAAGCTACCCAAGGCTGCTCTGCCCCTGGAGTCCCTCTGTGGGGGTGAAAGGGGCTCTGCTTTAGTCACAGGTGTGCCTGTTTGCAGGACCCCAGGCTTGAAGAAATGGACACGCCACACAGTGGCACTGAAACCGCCTTTTCTCTTGCAGCATGTTCCTCGTCCCCTTGTTTCCATGACGGCACGTGCCTCATTGACCAAACGGGATCTTACAGGTGTGCCTGCCTGGCAGGCTACACCGGGCGGCGCTGTGAAAATCGTGAGTGTGCCTCGGGAGTGGGAGGTGACATGTCCTGTGGGGCTGGCGTGGAGAGGGCTTGGGGAGCTTGCTGCGTACGCTGTTTCTTGGTGTCTGGGATGGTCTGTCCAAAGTGGCACATAATGTGGACAGAATCCCAGCCCCAGTATTCGCTGGCCGTGAGAAATGGATGTAAGTCACATCTCAGAGTGAGTCCTGGCTTTAAAGCAAGGGAGTCCTGCCTGCCCATCCCCACTGCAATCAGTGATCGGCTAAGGGCTGGCCTGGGCCAGCAGTACACGCCTCACTTCCTCTGCATGTGGGCCAGGTGGTCCCAGTAGCCTTTGAGCATCAAAGAGACAGCAGGTGCAGGCCACGGAGGTGAAACAAAATTGCTTGGGGTGAGAGTGGGTGGGAAGGGCCCACAGAGAGAGTGCAAAGGCCTCTGAGGGCAGAGCACCCACAGTGTCTGCATCAATCCCTCTTCACTGCGTGCACAGGTATTTTGGGGCATCCTACAAAAGGTCCTGTTTTGACAGCATTCTATAAAGTTCATACTTTTTTCTCCATTACATTTATCCCCTTCCCCCCCCCACCTCCTCCCCTCCCCAATCACCCCACTGTCGTCCATATCCAGTTCTTTTTCTTTTTCCCCTTTGTTGCTCAATCCCTCGATACCCGCTGCCCATCCCTTTCACTCCCCCTCCCCAGCGCCAACAGCCTGCTCTCTATCTATAAGTTTGTCTCTCTTTTGCTCATTAGTTCAGTTTGTTCATTAGATTCCGCATATGAATGAAATCATATGATACTTGTCTTTCTCTGACTGGCTTATTTCACGTAGCATAATGTTCTCCAGGTCCATCCACGCTGTCACAAAGGGTAACATTTTCTATAAAGTTCATACATTTTTTAATTGAGTTCATGAATTTTCCTTGCAAACCATGCAGACGGAAGCCATGGATGGTTTCAATAGGGTGTCCTTGAGTGTGCCATTGTGTTCCGCTAAGAGCAGCCCTTGCTTCGCTTTGGGCTAGCAGAGCTATGCCAGATGCTTGGAAAATGGCATTCCCCTTCGGGGTTCCTGCCTCGTTTCAGCCCGCTGGGTTGTGTGCAAGGCAGAGAAGAGGAAGGTTGCTTTCTCTTTGTTTCAAGACTTGGTTTATAGAGTGATTCTGGAGTCTTGACAGTGGCAAATCCTGAGAGTCAGGGCAGGGAACAAAAAAAAAAGAGAAGGCTCAATTTCTTGATGAAGTAACTGCACATTATCGATAAATAAAAGTTAAGATTGGATGAAGAAAAGTAAAGTACTCTAAATATGCTACAATGTCTTTAAGAGTCTCTTATTAGGGAGGAAAAAAATTGGTCCCAAGGTTGTGAGTAAAATATTCATGCTTAGTTTATGAGCCAGAAATGGACTTCCCAGCACTGTTATCCTTTCCTGAAAAACAAAAACAAAACAAAACCACACAACCATAATGAAAAGGAATATAAAATATGTCATTATGAACTGATTCATAACTCGATTCGCAAACTGTCTCAACTCAAAATGCCAGCATAGATGGGCAAGTGAATGCTTCTTGGCCACTTTCAAAGTGTTCTTCCAAACCCAGAATTCCCGTGGTCCCCAGTAGTTGTAACTGGGTGAAGGCATTGGTGGTGGATAGCTGATAAGTCATTTGCTGGCATCAACGTGGGGACCAAAAGTCTGATTGCTTTCTATAAGGCTTCAGTTTTTTGTTTTCCTTTTGGAAAATTCAGCATGAGTTCCAACTAATAAAATTAGGGAAACATCACAAAAATTGTCGGTGGCACTTTACCTTGTAACTTCGGAACAAACCTTAACCGTTTTTTTTGTTGTTTTTTTTCCAACAGCAGTCTATCATCTAAAAAAACAAAAACAAAAAAAGGGCGGGGGGGAATCTTTATTGCTTTTCTCATGAGTGTATCAATGAACTAAAACTATCTCCCCGGAGGGAATGCTTTGAAGATTAACAAGAAACCCAAACATGCCAGGATTCCAGAAATGTATTGTTTTGAAAATAGCTTTAAAAGAACGGAAGCAAATATTAGTGAGAAATCTATCTTTTATTTACGTAGTACCAGCCCTGCAACGCTGCTGCTTTAATGCTCTGTCCTCCTGAAGTCCTGGGGAAGTGTCAGATGCTCCCTGGAGCAGGAGAGGGGCCCATCCAATTCAAAAGTGGAGGCGAGGATCTCACAGTCCCCACATCGCTCACAAGCTCTCAGACGCGATCTCACTGCAAGGCGTGGTGAGACTTGATGCGACCAGTTGATGCGTGTGGTTATTGTGTCTCATCATCGAGTCCTCTCCAAGGACCTGCCTTCCCAGGCGAGGCCCACCTGTCGCTCTTTTCCAGAGAGAATCCTGACGTATGTGCGTGCCTGTGAGTGGGAGTGGAAGAGCAGTCGGTTTTCTAGTTAACTGTAGAAGACGTATATACTTGTAACAATAATCACACAGTAAGTAGGGCAGCAGTTCCACACAGTAAGTAGAGCAGCAGTTCTCAACCTGTGGGTCGCGACCCCTTGGGCGGTCGAATGACCCTTTCATAGGGGTCGCCTAAGACCATCTTGCATATCAGATATCTACATTACGATTCATAACAGTAGCAACATTACAGTTATGAAGTAGCAATGAAAATAATTTTATGGTTGGGTCCCAACATGAGGAACTGTATTTAAAGGGCCAGAAGGTTGAGAACCACTGCAGCAGAGAGATGTGTGAAATAGAAGGAGAACATTGCTTTTCCTGACCAAGCCTGGTTCCCAGCAGTTAACAATGTAATGAGTATCCTTCCAGGCTGTCTTCTAGGGTGTGCAAGCCGAAGTTGTCTATATATCATCATTTTAAACCTTTGGTTCTCAACTGGGGGGGATTTTGCTCCCCACTCCCACCCCCAGGGGACCTTCAGTGATGTCCAGAAACATTGTTGATTTGTCATCATTGTGGAGTTGGGGTGCTACTGGCATCTCATGAGTAGAGGCCAGAGGTGCTGCAAAACATCCCACAATGCACAGGGCAAAACCCCAACTGCCCCCCACCCCCGGGCCCCGCAAAGAGTTATCTTGTCCAAATGTCAGTTCTGCCAAGGTTGAGAACCCCTGTTTTAAACAGAAGTGGATTAAAGCACGCATACGATTTTCAACTTGTTTTCAGTGCCCGTATCATGGCTACGTTTTCCAGGTCAGTCCATGTTGGTCCAAATGTCTGATTATTTTCTATAAGGTTTAGGTGTTTGGTTTTCCTCCTGGGAAATTCAACACGAGCTCCAACTAAGTCAGTGAGGGAAACATCACGAAAATTGTCTGTGGCACTTTACCTTGTAATTTCGAAACAAGCCTTAACCATGTTTTTCACTCATTTGAAAAAATAGCTGCGCATTCCAGTGTGTGGATGTAGACACAGTCATCTCTTCATCCAGTTCCTTCAGGTGCACCTGTTCTCGTGTTTGGTTTTTTCCTATTGTGAAGAGAGCCGCCATGACTGCCCTAACGTATCTTTCTTGGTTCACATGTGGAGGTAGTTTTGTGAGATAAATCCGTAGCTGTTGAGCTGTTAGTTCGAAGGGTATGAGAGTTACACTTTTGAGAGCTGTCCCCAAAGTGGTCACTGAAAGGTTTAACTGATTTTCAACATGAGCCGTTATGGACGGTTGTCCTGAGATAAGAACTAGCAGTTGCATTTCAGAAACTGGGTCAAGCTGGAAGTGGATTGATTTTTCTAAGGAATTCTGTGGGTCTGAAAGGCGTTTGTCCCTGGGACTTCCTGGGGCAGTAGATAAAGAATAAGAAATAATCGCCCAGCCAGTGTGGCTCAGTGGTTGAGCATTGATCCATGAACCAAGAGGTCACGGTTCGATTCCAAGGCAGTACATATGCCCGGGTTGCAGGCTCGATCCCCAGTAGGGAGCATGCAGGAGGCAGCCGATTGGTGTATCTCTCTCATCGATGTTTCTATCTTTTCTATCCCTCTCCCTTCCCCTCTCTCTCCAAAATCAATAAAAACATATTTTTATTAAAAAGAATAAGAAACAATCCGTGTTTAGTTGGTAAGAGGTGGTGAGAGCCGCAAGTACATTATTTAAGTGCTGCTGGGCTCAAACTTCCCATTAATTTGTCCCCAAGAAAGAACAGCTTTCCCCTGCTCCCAGGTGACCTTCTCTGAGAGCAATCAAAAGGGGGTGGAGTGGCTCCCCCATCAGTGCTGGGGCCAAGCCAGCCTCCTGCCAGGACCCTCCGCGACCCCAACCTCCTTGGGCCACCATGTAAGAAACTGGGGCCCCTTTTTTCCTCTGAAGTTTCCTGTTTCTTTGTATGGAACACAAGGACAAAATAAGTTCTTAAGTAAAGGGTCGGAATCCTGTTTTGCAAAAGTGGAGAGCGGGGGATTCATCGCCTGCTCCAGTTTCCATGTCGTCTTTGTTCCTCTGGCCCAGTTGACGAGGCCGGGTCTTCCCCCTGCATCCCAATGAAGCGCGCTGAACCCGGCTGACTCTCGGGCACAAAGCTCACACTGCGGGCTCTGCCGCGCCTTGGAACACAGCACAATGGCCTCCACCAATTAAAGGAAGACGGGGAATCTGGTTGTTTCTGGGGTTTGGATCGGCAAGAGGTTTCCCACTAGCCTGTCCCCAGGGCTGGGAGAAAAGCGCCCAGGAGGAGCGCACACTTTCTGCTTCAGCTTCAAAGGGGCAGCCGGTGCTTCTCATCAGAATAAGCGGTCAGCAGATCTGCGGTTTTCATGGAAACGTTACCGCTGACCCCCGATGAGTCGCAATCCCCTCTCCCATCACAGAGAAATGGTAGGCTCTAGCACAGTGACTCTCAACCTTCCTAATGCCCCGACCCTTTAATACAGTTCCTCATGTTGTGGTGACCCCCAATTTCATTGTTACAAATTGAACATAATCAAAGCATAGTGATTAATCACAAAAACAATATGTAATTATATATGTTTTCTGATGGTCTTAGGCGACCCCTGTGAAAGGGTCGTTCCACCC